ATTCGCCCTACTATGAGTTTGTTTACCACCGAAATGACTTTGAAGCTGTTATATCAAGGTACAATTCTTGCATAGTGTGCCTTTAAGTTTTAGTCATTTTTACATGCTTTTGTCAATTTTAGTAGTTTTTAAGTGGTTTATTTGTATCTTTAATTGATAATTTTAGTAATTTTAGAACATTTAGGCAAAAATACCATTTTCTAATCTAGTATTTTATTTCAGCTTTAATTCAATTGACCCGATCAGCTAAAAAAAAAAGACCAATACTGCTTAAAAACCAGGGACACCAGCTTAAACCAGCAAAGTTAGTTTTTAAACAGCATTGCTATGTACTTACAATGAAACATTATTGGGCAAATGATTCCCCTGAACACTTATAGCAGCAGGCGTAATGATATGACGCAGCGCCTGAAAATAGTCCCGTTGTGTTGACGGAAGGTAGCCTATTTTCAGGCGCTGCGTCATATCATTACGCCTGCTGCACTCATGGTACGGCAGTAAAGTTCCTTGATTATTACGCAGGAATGAGAGTATAGTTCCTAGCCATATCAGCCTAGAAAATCGCAACTTTACATTTTCCGTCGGTCTTAGTGCACGATGTAACTACAGAAGAGTCAAGTTTTAAATAGGAAAAATATCGAAACTCTTTGGTCATTTTTTTTTTTTGAGAAATGCTAATGGTCTTGTCCACTTCAATGATGTATGCTAAGCTATGCTAAAAGTGGTACCGCCAGAACCGGAGATCGGCTGAATGGATTCAAAAACGGTAAAACTCAACAGTTTAACTCTGGGGGAGTTGTAAAATGAGCCTATTTACAAAAAAAGTGGAGTATCCCTTTAAAGCCTGAATGCATTAATCACAGAGACACTGAACCAGACTAATGAAAGCTTGAATCCGTGGCCCGCTGACAGACAGATTAAAGCTGGAGCAAACTGCGTTTACAAACTCTCTGTTACGCATCATAACTCTCTGCTATTGAAAAGAAATGACGAAACGGGTTTATTTGTAGAGATAAACACAGCACTGAGGTAATCAGCTTCTCTGGACTCCAGATGTAGAGGACTGTCCTCAGCAAACACAACAAATCCACACAACTATTGCTCACAGTCTCTATTAGAGCATGTCTTCATTAGCAAACAAATGCAGCTTATACTCATGCACACGTCACATAGGCTGGTGTGTGTATGATATAAGGGCATTTCTCTTGCTGGTGTGTGTATGATATAAGGGCATTTCTCTTGCTGGTGTGTGTATGATATAAGGTCATTCCTCTTGCTGGTGTGTGTATGATATAAGGGCATTCCTCTTGCTGGTGTGTGTGTATGATATAAGGGCATTCCTCTTGCTGGTGTGTGTATGATATAAGGTCATTCCTCTTGCTGGTGTGTGTATGATATAAGGGCATTTCTCTTGCTGGTGTGTGTGTATGATATAAGGTCATTCCTCTTGCTGGTGTGTGTATGATATAAGGTCATTCCTCTTGCTGGTGTGTGTATGATATAAGGGCATTTCTCTTGCTGGTGTGTGTATGATATAAGGGCATTCCTCTTGCTGGTGTGTGTATGATATAAGGGCATTTCTCTTGCTGGTGTGTATGATATAAGGGCATTCCTCTTGCTGGTGTGTGTGTATGACATAAGGGCATTTCTCTTGCTGGTGTGTGTATGATATAAGGGCATTTCTCTTGCTGGTGTGTGTATGATATAAGGGCATTTCTCTTGCTGGTGTGTGTATGACATAAGGGCATTCCTCTTGCTGGTGTGTGTATGATATAAGGGCATTCCTCTTGCTGGTGTGTGTATGATATAAGGGCATTTCTCTTGCTGGTGTGTGTATGATATAAGGGCATTCCTCTTGCTGGTGTGTATGATATAAGGGCATTCCTCTTGCTGGTGTGTGTATGATATAAGGTCATTCCTCTTGCTGGTGTGTGTGTATGATATAAGGGCATTTCTCTTGCTGGTGTGTGTATGATATAAGGGCATTCCTCTTGCTGGTGTGTGTGTATGATATAAGGGCATTCCTCTTGCTGGTGTGTGTATGATATAAGGTCATTCCTCTTGCTGGTGTGTGTGTATGATATAAGGGCATTTCTCTTGCTGGTGTGTGTATGATATAAGGACATTTCTCTTGCTGGTGTGTGTATGATATAAGGGCATTTCTCTTGCTGGTGTGTGTGTATGATATAAGGTCATTCCTCTTGCTGGTGTGTGTGTATGATATAAGGGCATTTCTCTTGCTGGTGTGTGTATGATATAAGGGCATTTCTCTTGCTGGTGTGTGTATGATATAAGGACATTTCTCTTGCTGGTGTGTGTATGATATAAGGGCATTTCTCTTGCTGGTGTGTGTATGATATAAAGGCATTTCTCTTGCTGGTGTGTGTATGATATAAGGACATTTCTCTTGCTGGTGTGTGTATGATATAAGGGCATTTCTCTTGCTGGTGTGTGTATGATATAAGGGCATTTCTCTTGCTGGTGTGTGTATGATATAAGGGCATTTCTCTTGCTGGTGTGTGTATGATATAAGGACATTTCTCTTGCTGGTGTGTGTATGATATAAGGGCATTTCTCTTGCTGGTGTGTGTATGATATAAGGGCATTTCTCTTGCTGGTGTGTGTATGATATAAGGACATTTCTCTTGCTGGTGTGTGTATGATATAAGGGCATTTCTCTTGCTGGTGTGTGTGTATGATATAAGGTCATTCCTCTTGCTGGTGTGTGTGTATGATATAAGGGCATTTCTCTTGCTGGTGTGTGTATGATATAAGGGCATTTCTCTTGCTGGTGTGTGTATGATATAAGGACATTTCTCTTGCTGGTGTGTGTATGATATAAGGGCATTTCTCTTGCTGGTGTGTGTATGATATAAGGGCATTTCTCTTGCTGGTGTGTGTATGATATAAGGACATTTCTCTTGCTGGTGTGTGTATGATATAAGGGCATTTCTCTTGCTGGTGTGTGTATGATATAAGGGCATTTCTCTTGCTGGTGTGTGTATGATATAAGGGCATTTCTCTTGCTGGTGTGTGTATGATATAAGGACATTTCTCTTGCTGGTGTGTGTATGATATAAGGGCATTTCTCTTGCTGGTGTGTGTATGATATAAGGGCATTTCTCTTGCTGGTGTGTGTATGATATAAGGACATTTCTCTTGCTGGTGTGTGTATGTTATAAGGGCATTTCTCTTGCACATTTTCAAACATCCGAAAGATTTAATGTCTGAAAATATGACCGCAAACACACACAGAGAAGCAGACATTACAGCATCTTAAAGGCCTGTTCCAAAAAAAAAAAGAAAAAAAAAAAGTGGTAAACGGCCATCCGAACTGCACAATTTAATAAATCATACACAGACCTCGTCTCAGACTGCACACTTTTTTTGTGGATGAGCAACACAAACCCTCAGACTTGTTTCCGTCTGAAACTTTACGGACTGAAACGAACCTCCTGTATTTATTTGCGTAACTCAAATGTTTCAGTATGTTACGGGAAGTGCTAAACATGCACGGTCAGGGGTATCGGCCCGAGAGTGTGTGTTTCTCATGTAGCATCGGCCCGAGAGTGTGTGTTTCTCATGTAGCATCGGCCCGAGAGTGTGTGTTTCTCATGTAGCATGTCATCCTCGATGTTCCCTCAGTTTTTTCTTTATCCATGCATGCAATAAAACAATATTTATACGGAAGAACTTTTTCTAAATAAAATCAAGACAGTAATTTAAAGATGCTGGGCACCACTAACTAGCCGAGAAACACCAGTGCACCATCTGGCTGCTGAATAAGGTGGTATAGCAATGAAAGTGGGTCACAGGTGTTCTCTCTCATCCATCAAGAGCTATAAGCCAGTGGCATGTTTTCCCACAGTTTTACATCATGATCTGTCTGAGGAAATATTGGACCCTCTCCTCACTGTCACTTATCCTGGCAAAGATAATCAACTGATACTGAAGTGTTATTCTCTTCCCCAAACAGTGTATAAACATCCCTAATGAAAGACTGCTAGATTGTTAGAATATTCTGCCAAGGCATTTCATTCACAAAGTCTGCGCTTCCACTGTGCCGCAACTCACTGTCTAAACAGACGCTCAGGGTTTACTGGCAGCTTTTCCTTTTTTAGCTTCAAAATAGTATCATATAAATAATGAAACAAGTAGGTTTACAATTCCATTATATTATAAAGATGGAGAGAAAAAAAAGAGTTTCATCGCAGACACGTTCTTATCATATGGGACATTGAGGTAATCCTGCTCAAAACACCCACGTGTCGGTGCAAGTAAAACATGTTTACGTGTCTGCATTGCAATTCATGTTAAATGGAGGATGTACAATTAAAAGAAATAGGTGGACAATACAGTGCATATTAGTGTGACTAGAAAAGTGATCAGTCATAATTGAGGACTAAAATATAAAAAATAAAATAAAATAATTAAAACTACAAATATAATAAAATAAAAAAACACCCATATATTATATATATATATATATATATATATATATATATATATATAGTATTATTATATTTGTATTATTATTATTATTATATTTGTAGTTTATTTTATTTATATTGTTATTTTATTTTATTTTAAATTAAATTTAAATTGTATTTATATTTTATTATATATATATATATATATATATATATATATATATACACACATATACATACTAATTAAATTAAAATGTAATTTAAAATAAAATATAAAACAACATTAAATAAAAAAAATTGTAAAAATAAAAATACAAAATTTAATAAAATTATTAAAAAATATATATTAAAAAAAGAATAATAATAAAAATTAAATAAAAATAGGACAATGGAGTGTATATTCGCATGACAAAAAAAAATTAACCAGTCATCACCCAGGACTTAAAAAAAAAAAAAAATAAAAAAAAAAAAATTTACAGACCGTTATGATGGTTATGATAATTTAATATGTTAAAGTGTATTCTCTAGTCTACAAGGTTTCATCCTCAAAACATGTGACCTTGGTCTTACCTCTGGCTGTATGGCCTTAAAAACAGGGGCGTCCATCAGGGTAATTTGGCTCTGAGAAACACAGAAAAGACAAAAATAAAAAGTCACATTTTCACTCAAACTGAGAGCGAGTAATCACAGCCATGAGCTCATTTTCCAGCACTGAGTTACGGCGTACATAATGGGAAAGGACAAAATGAATGAGAACAATTCATCAAAAAAATCACCACACTGAAGGTTCAACAGGGTCCTTTAACTTCAGTTCATTAGAAGTCTAAATAATAAGCCCTTGATGCATGTGAATTATGGCTAACAAACTCTCTCAAATCCCACAATCAGGCCAACTCCTGTTGTAAATCACCACTAACATTCTGTATATTATTCAGAGAACGTTTGAGTTATTAATCATAGACCATCAGCTCTGTCACACTGTAGGTGAACTCCAGATGCAAAGGCTGTTCTGATAAATTAGGAACATTATGGGATACCTGTGTATCTTTTGTGGACAAGGCAATCCCATAAAACAGTGCAAATTGTTGATTAGAAATATTATTAGTATACTTAAAATTCATTTAAAATAAGTTTGGCGTGGAAAGTTTATTTATATAGCGCATTTCACATAAAAGGGACGATCATATAAGAAAACATTGATTTAAAATGTGTCGCGCCCCCTTTTTTGGAATATAGATGTAAGATTGGTCTAGATTTAAAGAAGACATTGGGCAGATTTTTGTAGAAGTTAAATAAATTAAGAAAGTGAAACAGAAAGAAAGTTATAGAAGTTTGAGTTTATGAAAATGTAAAAATTTAACTATTCATATTTTATATAAAATATATTTTTTCAAAACCTGGTGGACTCTAAAACTGCAAGAAAATCAAAACCAAAACTCTGAACAAGTTGCGTTTCAAATTTTAGGTTGATATCTCAAAAAATGAGCTTTCAGAAAGATTTTGTTTGGGCGCAGTACCGGACGCTTCCACTAGGGCACAACCAGACTCCATTACTGCCCATATAAGGGCACCTCCATTTCCATATGTGTTTTGAGTGATCTGAACCATTATTTCCACAATATTCATACAATTTATGAAGTAGGCATCCTATTCAGAAGTAGTAAGAACCTAAAAACCCACTATAAAACCAGCCAACAGACCAGTTTGACCCGGCCAGGAGATCAGCTAAGACTGGTAAAAACATGCTTCCTTAGTAATACATTAACCCTCTGGGATTGTTCGTTTAACAGTCACACTTGGGGTGTTCGGGTCCAAATGGACCCAAAGGGCAGGATTCATATTTAAAAAAAATATATATATTTTCTTTTTTGGTGTTTTGAGATAATTTCAAAAATAAAAATGATTTATAATTAATATTAATGCAATAATGATGACCCATTTTGTCCCCATTGAATATAATAGAATTTTTTTTAAGCTGTATTTCATTTTAGAGTCAAGCCTATGCCTCATGAAAGCAATTTTTGAAATGAGATGGATGCCATCTGGTGGACAAACTGAGCATTTTAAAAATTCAAAACCCATATGTAATCTGAATTTATTAGTGTGTATGTGTATAAAAGTGTGTGTGTGTGGATGTGTCTGTTTTGTACTCTTGATGTTTTATAGATTCACCCCTTCACTGTTGTGTGCTTTTTTTCTGGATCGTGGCTGATTTGTAGATTGTACGCACAAAAAAACTTTGTATTTTCACATTTTTGCCAATTTCCCATTCATTTCCTATGGGGGTCCATTTGGACCCGAAGGTCCTGAGTGTGACTATTTTTTTTTACAACCACTTAGACTATTCAAATCCTGTCCCCAAATTTTTTGGGTGTTCATATACCAAGTACCAAGAAAGTCACCAAATTTCGGACCATTCCGATAAAGCTATGATTTAAAAAAATATATATATTTAAATGCTTCGGGTCCATTTGGGCCGAACAACCCCAGAGGGTTAACAGCAAACTACATAGCCTTTTTCAAAACCGTTTGTTCCAGAAGTATTTTTCCCTTTCATTGCGTCCACAAGGATGTGGAGTACCGGAGCTCATGAGGCCCAGAGTCAGTCAGGATGACGGTTTCACAAGCGCTCGACAGCAAGGTCTTGGAACAGAGCTTTTGTTTCCAAACGGAAAGGTCCCAATTGACCAGGAAAGCTACTAATGAGACTCATGGAGCTGCATCATTACAGGACAGGACAAATGATGTAGAACGAAAGTTATCCACCAGAGAAAGCATCAATTTGAACGCTGACAGTTTTACTCACTGCAAACTCCTCTGGCGTGACTTTCAGCACATCAAACACGACAGCATCGTAGCTCTTCGCATAGTCCGCGCTCGGGCCGTCCACAGACACGGAGCTGTTGCTTCCCTGAATATGAGAAAGAGGCAATATGAAGACACTAAGATGTCAACCATGAAATATTACAGATGCTCCTAAATTCAAGAACAATAACAGAGAGGGAGGGATGCAATTGCAAACAATGACTACTCATAAACAGATGAAAGACAACTAGAAATCAAAACTGACCACAATCTAACTAAACGTTCCTGTTTTTATTGTCCTGGTTTGGGGTTATTTTTTGATGATGACTGTATATTATCCCTTATTTGGTCTGGTGTGGCTCTCATGTATTGCCCACCAGCCGTCACAGAACACATCACGCCTGTCGTTAAAACATCAGCACGGCTCTTTCCATGGAAAAGCACAGTCGTCGGGTTAGCGTGAGGATTTCATGGCAGATGTGGTATGTGTTTCTCACGGGACGACTGCCAGCGCTGGAAAAACCAGGAAAGTTCCCAGAGCTTCATTGATCTCTGATCTGATGATAACAGCATCTGAATGAAGACGCGTGTAAATGTCCATACATGTTATTTCCATGGTACTTTCCAGTAAATAAAAAAAAGAGCTGACCCTTACCCAAAAAAAAAAAAGTACCATAGTATTACCATAAAAATGTACCATGGAAAAACACAGTATCAGCACTATGAGGATTACAAATTCATTGATTTTAAGTTTATTGATACACACTCAAACACAGTACGACCTGCTTTGTACGACTCTCCACAGAATACAATAGACTAGATTTAAAATTTGAAAGAATGACAACACGATAGAATTATATAGACTGTAAGGAGATTGAATAAATATACATGTACATAAATTAGTATAAATATGAGTGCATAATGACAGGTGTAGAGGTCTAGCAGCAACAGTCCAACTAAAAGATGTGCATTTGCAATAAAGTGCAATAATGAGTACAGCTGACTTGCATGTAGATATGACAAATAATAGCAATAATAATACAGTGTAGTATTATTTTTGATATGATGTATAGTGCACTAGTCCTCCTTGCTGTTAGTATTACTGTGATTCCCTATTTTATGAGACTTTGAAGTTACAAAACCATTTCAGCACCATGGTAGGAAACTGGCAATCATTCAGCATTACACCGTTTTGAAAGAAATTAACACTTATTCAGCAAGGATGCATTAAATTGATCAAAAGTGACAGTAAATACATTTATAAGGTTGAAAAAGATTTATTTTACAAATTAATACTGTTTTTTTTTTTTTTTTTTTTTTTACTTTCTATTCATCAAAGAATCCTGAAAGAATCCTGAAAAAATGTATCATGGTTTCCACAAAAATATGAAGCAGAAAAACTGATTGATAATAATCATAAATGTTTCTTGAGCATCAAATCATCATATTATAATGATTTCTGAAGGATCATGTGACTCTGAAGACTGGAGTAATGATGCTGAAAATCAGCTTTGATCACAGGAATAAATTATATTTTATACTATATTACAAGAGAAAACAGTTATTTTAAATTGTAGTAATATTTCACAATATCACTATTTTTATTTTTAATCAAATAAATGCAGCTTTGGAGAGCATATGAGATTCTTTCAAAACATTGAAACAACCAAACTTTTGAAGGGTAGAGCATGTATGAAAACAACAGTATTGCCATCTGATCCCATGGTGCCACCGCAGGACATGTGTCAGTGGAGGCTCTCGTCAGTGTGGAGGTACTGGAGGCTGGCAGGTCCTGGGCTGGGAATGGCAGTGGAAACGAGGGGTCGGTGGATGCCAGAAGCACTACCTCATTCACACTGCCTGCCAGTCAGGGTCAAACACTCATTAGAGCAATGCAACGCTCCACTGCAAACCCATAAACTGTCCATCAGAGCACAGCCACCCTGTACAGGACCTAAGTGAGGACAGCAAGTGCACTGACGCAATGACATAACCCCACAAAACACAACAGAGGGTGTTTTACCAGTGCGTGATGACAGGTCATTATAATAAATATATATATATATATATATTATATATATACAAATATTGTAAAATAGAATTTTATAAACCATCACATAAAAACAATTATTGTATTTTTCCAAGATTTTGCAATGTTGCTGATTCAGGCCTAGTAATTTACAGTATACATGAACAGTGTTATTTTATACGGAAGCGTATTGCATTCACTTGAAGAAAAAAAAATCTACTCTGTTTTTCTGAATTAACGAGTTAATTATCTCAGAATTACGAGATACATTGTTCTTGAAAAACTCTGTTTTTATGAATTAATGAGTTTGAGATAATTAAGTCATTAATTCAGAAAAACAGAGCAAAAACTTTTTTCCATGAAAAATTCTCGTAATTCTGAGATAATGAACTCGTTAATTCAGGAAAAACAGAGTAGATTTTTTTTCCTCAAGTGAATGCAATACGCTTCCGTTATTTTAGTATCATTGAGATCGAAATTACGGAGATCATTGCTATTTGTTTTTATTTTGAATTTCCCATTCTCATTTTAAAATTTTGGTCATTTTTATCAGTTATTGTTGTTTTTAATGTCTATATTGTTTTATCCATTTTTAGCTATTTTAGTACATCAAGCAACTAGCTGAAGTAAAAAAAAAATATATATATATATATATATATATATATATTTTTTTTTTTTTTTACATTTATTTTTTTATTTCAGTTAATATTTATCATTTTATAATATTTATTCCAGCATCACAGAAATGTGTTATGATTTTAGTTTTAGTTAACTAGAATAACCCAGTACATGAGTCACTACAGAACTGATTGTTATAATTAAATAAATAACTCTTTCTGTCCTATCCTGTCATAATGCTGAAATAAGGAAATATAATTTGCAACAATGACCACTTGAACAAAGGCAATGAGATAAGAATTATTTATCAGTTAATCATTTTATAAGATTAATATATTTTAAAAAAAAAAATGAAAGGAGGAGTGGTTACCTCAGAGGAGGCGGAGCTAATGCTGGTGCCATCCGATAGGCCGTTTCTACGGTACATGCTGGTGAATCAGCCAATGGGGTGCAGACGCCAGGGCAACAGCGGCCCTCAGCCAGACCCCACACATGACGAATCATCCATACCTGCAGACACACAGAGGAGAAACACACACCAGTTATAGTCATCACATACAATTATCTTCATTCTTTATTACTTTTCAAGATCATGAAGATGTTCAAACCAATGTTTGAAATACCATCAAATAATGTAGATCGGACAATGATTAAAATCATATTGACGCATGTATCTTAAGTTCATTGCAAAATACTGTATAAAATATCATTAGCGTGAGAGTGTAAAGAGACTCAATATCAACAGCAATGCTTCATGGGAGTGTGTGGATAGATGAAGTGGGTTCAGATAGATGAAGTGTGTGTGTGTGTGTGTGTGTGTGTGTGTGTGTGTGTGTGTGTGTGTGTGTGTGTGTGTGTGTGTGTGTGTGTGTGTGTGTGTGTGTGTGTGTGTGTGTGTGTGTGTGTGTGTGTGTGTACGCAAAGTTGAGATGTTGCCCAGAGAGAGAAAAACAATAGGTGTCGGAGGAAAAGATGCACGAGAGACGAGAGATGGCGTATTTTCCGTGTTTAATTAAATTCATTAAATGTCACACTTGTCCGCATACATGATCGAGTGAGAAAAAGTATAAAAACAAACAAACATCCAACTCTGGTCACAATATAAAAGGAAATAAAAGAAAGAGTACAAAAGTCAGCAGAGCGGTTATCTCTCTCCTCGCCTCTCAAATCTATAACTGACACTTGTTTTACCTCAGATTACCATAAAAGCACAAAGTGACCTATACAGTGTGTGTGTGTGTGTGTGTGTGTGTGTGTGTGTGTGTGTGTGTGTGTGTGTGTGGGTGTGTGTGTAGGGAAAACTCTGATCCTAAATGCCTAAGGAACTCCAAACTCTCTTTCCCAGATGGCCAGAGGAAGTCCCAGCATACCTGACTGACCGATGAACCGCCGGGTCGGGAAGCAGCGCAACGAATAGGAAAGAATGTGACTTTTACAATGGAAATCCTCTCGGATCACTCAGACGGTGATCAACACACTTAATGGGTTTTGGGAAAGTTCTCCACACTCAGCTGGACATCTGAAACCCCCACTTTGGTCTGAGAAACGGGGAATTTCATTTACAATGACAGTTGCTGTAAAGAAAGTGTTTTAATCTCAGCTCCAACTGTGAGACGCTTTTTATCAAGCAGATCTCATGTAACCATTTCAAGAGGTGTTCCTTCGTTCAGACTTTCTACATGTAAACATTTCACTCCAAGGGAAACAATGGAAATCATGCTCTTTCGAAATGAACAAGTTTGAGGCTCTACTTTAACCCTTCTCTGGCTGGATGTAAAGGAGCTGTGAATGCCAGAGCATTTACACCAACTACACTGCATAAACAGCTCATAGAAATCATCATGCGTATGTGCTCATTAACATAAGACCACTCGCATTTGTATATCAACGTCTTCAGTTTTATGGCCAAGCACCGCTCAGACAATACTTCACAAAATCTAGTTCATTGTGTTTATTACACTCTAAAAAATGCTGGCCTGGGTTGTTTCAACCCAAATATGGGCAAACCCAAATGTTGGGTTAAAAATGTAATTAAAAAAATGTACAGTTGAAAGTGAAAGTTGAAGTTGGGTTAAAATTTTAAATTACATTAACCCAACATTTGGGTTTGTCCATATTTGACCGAAATTTGGGTTAAAACAACCCAGCATTGTTTAGAGTGTACGCTATTAAACATGGCCTGTTACTGAAGCCAAATCAGAGGAGCTGTGATGACCTCTAGTGGCCTTTAGGAGTTTATGTACAATCATAAGTATGTTGTTAAATTCAGTTTTTTGGCTTATTATCATCAATACAATGATCTGAACGCACAACATAACTTTTTTAAGCATTCAAAATATCCTATATGGAGAGACCAAAACAACTAAATATAAATGAAAATATAAATAAATATACTACTTAACAAGTTTGTGGTAAAAACGTTTTAAATATTTTTGAAACATTAAACGCTTCTGCTCACTGCTGCCGTTATTTGATTAAAAAAACACACACAGTAAAACAGTAAAATTGTTAAATATTCTTACTATTCAGAATGTTCTGTTTTCTACTGTAATATAGTAAAATATAATTTATTCCTGTGATCAAAGCTGAATTTTCAGCATCATTACTCCAGTCTTCAGTGTCACATGATCCTTCAGAAATCACTCTAATTCGTGGAATTACTGCTCGAGAAACAATTATAATTATTATTATTATCAATGTTGAAAACAGTTGTGCTGCTTCATATGTTTGTAACATCAGGATTTCATAATTCTTTGATGGATAGAAAGTTCAAAAGAACAGCCTTTAGCCTATTTGAAATAGAAATATTTTTAAACGTTTTAATTGTATTTACTGTTACATTTGATCAATGTATAAGCATACTGTTGTATACTAATATAATACATAGAGACGACTAACAAAACATACAAATATAACAATATAACTGAACTGTTGTAACTAGAGTGTTAATGTTGGAGTCAGTCACATTTGACCACTTACAAAATTGTTGTACCACTCATGCGCACCACTAGGTGGCGTCTCTCAACTACACATTACTCAAACAGGGCCTTTTAGATGCTTTATCAGAAGAGATGTTTCAGACCATCCATTTAGTGTTTATATCACTTAAATCACATCAATATTCAACTCATTCCCATACAAGTACCACATACTGCATGCATATAGCCTAAGCTGAAAATGGTTATGTATCTGTAATATTTAAATAATATATAATCCTATATAATATATTTGTTGTGTTGTGAAACCACTAATAACTGAGACCACTCATGCCAGTGCTTATATTTTTCATTTTCGTCTCATTTTAAATAACTACATTTGTTACAAATTATAGGATCAGCATAACACTATGAGTGACAAACTAAACTTTCAATATATTTGCGGGTTTAAATGATAATCCCAGTTTTCGATTGTGCACTAGAAAAAAACTGAAATAAACATGAAAGTAGTAAGAAGTAATTTCTGCTTGTATAGAATCTTTTTGTACCATAAAGCATTCTTTTTAAATTTGAGTTAACCCATGATGAACCTGTGTGTGTGTGTGTGTGTGTGTGTGTGTGTGTGTGTGTGTGTGTGTGTGTGTGTGTGTGTGTGTGTGTGTGTGTGTGTGTGTGTGTGTGTGTGGCCTGGTAAACCCTACGTTATGGGGACAAAATGTCCCCACAAGGATGGCAATATCCGAATTGTTCGTGTGGGGACATTTTTTGGTCCCCATGAGGAAATCAGCTTCTAAATCATACTAAGTGATGTTGTTTGAAAATGTAAAAATGCAGAATGTTTCCTGTGATGGGTAGGTTTAGGGATAGGGTTAGTGTAAGGGAATAGAATATACAGTCTGTACAGTATAAAAATCATTATGTCTATGGAAAGTCCCCATAAAACATGAAAACACAACGTGTGTGTGTGTGTGTGTGTGTGTGTGTGTGTGTGTGTGTGTGTGTGTGTGTGTGTGTGTGTGTGTGTGTGTGTGTGTGTGTGTGTGTGTGTGTGTGTGTGTGTGTGTGTGTGTGTGTCCAAAGTCTTCCCGACTCAGCTCAATTTGAGCTGGCTCTTGTTTGTAACTCATTGAACAGCACAACCCAAACCCCTCCGCCTCCATCACTCCAGAGCGTCTGATTATAATCTGAGAGCATTTGCTATAATATCTGCGATGTAATCCCCCATGAGTCAGTGATAATACTATCTCACACACACACATCAGTGTTATACTGGATCATCAGCGCAGCACTGTCTGACATCACCCGTTTCAGACGCCATCTGGACTGAGAGCGGGTGTCAAAGCCATTAAGTGTTTCCAAGGAGACGCACATTACTTTACCTCCCGCTTTCACTTAGTCCAATTCAATAGAGTGGGTGCCTTCATGTTTTTTGTTATTCACAATACACACTTAAAGAATGAACTTCACTTGAGGGGCTTCATGAACACCTGCCGGATCCTTTTGACAACATCTACAGCAAATACATCTACTGCACTATATTAGAGGATAATAGAGTATAGAGTACAGTAGCCTATAGCAAAGTATATTATAGTATAGTAAACAGAACAGTATATATTAGTATAGTATGAGTACAGTAGTATAGGCTAATATAATACACAATAGGCTATATTATAGCATACAATAGTGATGCAGATGGGTTTCGATGTAGTGTTTAAAATGGTTCTAAAGTGTGCATTTCCTGGATGTCCGAATCGTGAGAAACCATCGAGAAAACGTAAAGGTGCCTTACTAATGCCACAAAATGAATGGCTTACCTTTCACACTTTCTGATCAAACTCAGTTCTCGCACATGCGTCGCTCTCGTGAACTCACTCGAGGCCCACACGGAAGAAGAGTTGAATAAAGTCGTTATTTTAGGGGGGTTGGCGCACAGAAAGTATTCTCCTTGCTTGATAAACTTAAGGTTGAGCCACTGAAGTCACTTGGACTATTTTAACAATGTCTTTACTAACTTTTCTGGGCCGCCGGATGCAATTACATAGAAGCATATGGAGGAGTGATCCAGCTCTCAGATTTCATCAAAAATATCTTAATTTGTGTTCTGAAGATGAACGAAAATCTTACGGGGTTGAACAACATGAGGGAGAATTACTGATAGATTTGTCATTTTTGGGTGAACTAACCCTTTAAGTGTTTAAAGTGTTTAAAGTGTTTAAAGTGTCAAGTGTTTTAAGTGTTTTAAGTGTTTTAAGTGTCATGCATTGCAATATGAATAAACTATGCTAACTGTGTGTGTGTGTGTGTGTGTGTGTGTGTGTGTGTGTGTGTGTGTGTGTGTGTGTGTGTGTGTGTGTGTGTGTGTGTGTGTGTGTGTGTGTGTGTGTGTGTGTGTGTGTGTGTGTGTGTGTGTGTGTGTGTCCGATTACCTCACACTGAAGACTCAAGAAGAAGTGTCAACAAGAATGCAACAGGACATTTCTGAATGGATAGTTGATGAATTTATGTAGCTGATGTGTAGTTATCTTCTAGTCTGATTAGCATATTCTGTCATTCTAATCTATAAATCGCATTGCC